GCTCTTCTCGCAGGCGGTCCCCTAGGGTCTGTCAACGACAGTAACCGCACAGCAGGCGGTTCTCCGGGCCGGAGAAACCTCAGGGGCCCCGCTCGCCACAGCGGAACCCCCGCCCGCGGAGGTGTTGGGAACACAGGTTCCCAGACCACTCCCGGACTCGGAGCTGATCCTGGGTCTGTTTAACTCGGGCTACACGTGATGATCAGGTCCTGGCAAGCTCCGGGCACAGCCCCGCCTTCAGCAACAACTCCACCTGGGAGCAAGCAAACACCTGGGATGGGGGTGGCTTTCTTGCTCCCCAGAGGACAGTGGTTCTCAACCTTGGCTGCACATTAGAATCACCTGGGAATCTACTTAAAAATCCTGATTTTTGGGCCTCATCCTCCGGAAATTCTGTTTCTTTGTTACTAATGTTGTGGCTACGTCACGCCATAGGAACAGATCTCTGACATAACCCGAGAACCTAATGTATATTAATCAGGGCATCTCAGACCCCGGGTGATTCCTATGTGCAGCCAAGGTTGAGAAACTCATTTGCCAGGGAGAGTGCGAATTATAAATGCATTAATTAGTCAATCTTTACATATCACCTTTACCCTGGATTTTTTTTTTTAAAGGTTAAGTAGTCTCCTTTCTTCATGGAGAAAGTTAATACATTTTCAACACTCGTCACTTCATAAAAGAAAGATGGAGAATATCTGTAGTTTTGACAACTCGTTAAGTATTTTGCCAAGAGATGATGGGGCACCTCTGGACTATGCAAAGCTTCTCCTGGTCACTCCACACCTCTTTCCAGAGCACTGTGAAGCCCGGAGGCAGTGGCACGGAATGATAAGTGCTCCTGGGAGCCGCCAGAGTAGAATCCTGGCTCTGTCGCTCTGTGGCCTTGAGAAAGCTGCTCCGTGCCCCACTTTCTCATCAATAACAAGGCAATGCAATAACTGGAGTGGTTGTGAGGACAGATTCATGTGTGTACAGTACACAGGGCTATGTGCAGTACAGAGGCAGTACTCTCTACGTGTTAATTATTATTTACAACCATAGAGGAAGAGTTACAGTTACCTATAATAATAGCTAACACTTATCTAGAATTGGTGCTTCCAATTGACTAGGCACAGATATTGTTTTACATGGAAATTAATCGGACACAAACAAGCCTGTGTTGACATTACTCAGCCCTGCCCTTCTGAATTTCATGTTTCCCATGCTTTCTATAACAGTTCCAATATATATGTGAGGAATTTAATACTACTCATTTAACACTGCTCAAGTATTTGCCTTATTTTCCAAGAGAAATAGATAAAAATAAGTTATCATCATCTCTCTGATTGTCCCAGGCCTCCTGGGGGTGCGCTCACCTCCCCTGGCTCGTGCTCCCCTAAGCCACCTCATTTGACTTCTGTGATCACCACTACAGTTCTCCACGATGGATACAGGACTGAATGATCCAGGTACAAGTGATTCCCAAATGGGGTGTACATCTAGACAGAAGCTAATCTTATTTCTTCATCGGCCAGGAATTAATTTATTTATTCATCTCCTAACAATGTTTTGACCCACACGACTTCCTGGTCTGTTCCAGGTGTTGGATATACTGTAGAGTGATATGCCAGACCAACAAGACCAGCAGGGCAGTCAGAGAAGGAAGGAATGAAGAATGAATGAATGAATGAATGAATGAGGTCATGCATAAGGTCATTTCAGATAACAATGGGCACTACGATCAAGATGAAATGGGATTGCCGAGACCGGTTTGGCTCAGTGGATAGAGCGTCGGCCTGCGGACTGAAGGGTCCCGGGTTCGATTCCGGTCAAGGGCATGTACCTTGGTTGTGGGCACATCCCCAGTGGGGGATGTGCAGGAGGCAGCTGATCGATGTTTCTCTCATCGATGTTTCTAACTCTCTATCTCTCTCTCCCTTCCTCTCTGTAAAAAATCAATAAAGTATATTTAAAAAAAAAGATGAAATGGGATGGTGATGGAGGGTCACTGGGTGGTTTTGGTGGTGGTGGGGGGTATCTGAGCTGGTCTAGAGGGACCTTTACAGCTAAAGCCCTGGGAAGAACCAGGGAGCTGGCATCCTGGGAGAGGAAACAACAGCAAAGGCTCCAAGGAGATCAGCTTTGGTGTGTTCCGAGCAAAGTAACGAGATTCACTGACTAGCTGGTTCCCAGAAAGGAAAACCTGGCTTATGAAATAAATTTCTTTTAAAATATATTTTATTGATTTTTTACAGAGAGGAAGGGAGAGGGATAGAGAGTTAGAAACATCGATGAGAGAGAAACATCGATCAGCTGCCTCCTGCACACCTCCTACTGGGGATGTGCCCGCAACCCAGGTACATGCCCTTGACCGGAATCGAACCCGAGACCCTTCAGTCCGCAGGCTGACTCTCTGTCCACAGCCAAACCGGTCAGGGCGCTTATAAAAATTTTTTAAAATGTCCAAGCTCTCATATGATTAAAGACATGCAAGTTGAAATAAACTGAAATACTGTTTTATATCCTGCCCGAATAAAAAGACTAAACACGAATTAGTAAAGGTGAGCATATGCTATGATCCCTCCATTCCTGCCCCGCCCTGCACTCTCACGTGTGCCTGCATGAGAATCAGCCAGGACCTCGCTAACATGCAGATTCTGACTCCGGTGCCTCAGAGAGTAACAGGCACGGATCACCTGGGGACCTTGTTAAGCATCCGATTCTGATTTCTGTGCTGCTCAGACTTGAACGGGAAGAACGACCTGGAGATCTTGTTCAGTGTGGATGCTGGGCAGCAGCCGTGCACGAGGCGCTCAGCCTCGCTAATTATGAGGAGTGAATATTAAATAGCCAGGAATTCCTCTTTTTTTTTCCCACCTACCAGATCAATAAATATTAAGAAGGCTGATAGCATTCTACTGTTAGCAGGAGTGCAGGGTAATTGGTCTCCCAATGCATTGCCAGCAGGAGCGTGAATGTTTGTAGTCACTTTGGAGGACAATTTGGCATGAAGTGTTAAATGTGCCCCGCCAATGATCTAGCAATTAATTGTCCTTTCCCTCTAGTCTTCTCCAGAGAAACATCTTCGCATGCGCACGAAGAAGTGTGTCCAGGGATGTTTGTTGTGACATCGTTGCCATAGCAAAAAAAATTGAGACACAAACTAAATGCCCAGTCACAGGGCAGTGGTTCGATTAAAGTGAGGGTTAGCCACACGGTCGAGTGCCAGGCAGCAAATAAAAGTAACCAGCCAGATTTCTGTATACAAGCCTGGCTTAAGTCCCACCTCTACTGCACTGAAAACCCAGCAAGTTCCCCCAGATATACACACATTCAAATCTACATATATTTCCAATACGGAAACATGAAAATCCAGGACAAAAAGGTATTGGAAGGCAACACACTGGCTATGTGTTAAGCAAGGTGGGGACAGGGGAGCAGCTTTGAGGGGGAGGGCAGAAGGATTGAGGAACCTAAATTGTCTGTGTATTCGTAATACAGTATTACAGTGGGGCCTTGACTTACGAGTTTAATTCGTTCCAAGACCAAGGAGCTCATTAACTCAAATTACTCTGTCAACTCAATGCAAAAAATTGGCCAAGAGTCAGCTGGTATCTCAAAAAACGCGTTAGTTGGGACACTCGTAAGTCAAGGCCCCACTGTACTTCCTTTAAAAAATGTATTCACAGACTCTTTATAGTTAAAAAGAAATAAATAACTAAATTGTGGTTGTGTCATACAATGGAATAAATTCTATATGACCATAAAAAAGAATAATATATTTCTGTGTGCTTTGATAGGGAATATTCTTCAAGATATATAAATCAAATGTTCAAATAACACAAATTATGCTGCTGTGTGTATGTAGATATATGTATGTAAGTACATATTGCTCTAACAGCATCTCTCTCTATAAAATTTATAATATATATAGGGTTTGCAAAATTATGTTTACAGTTGTGAGTATGCAAAACAGTTGATTCTTGTATTTATTAATTAGCGTATTATTTTCTATATGAACAACTGTAAACCTACTTTTGCCACACCCTGTACACACACACACACACACACACACACACACTTGTGAATGCGGAGGAGACCAGGGACCCTGGTCACAGGAGTTATCCCTGAGGACAGGGCAGCAATATTTGTGATGTGATTGTCTGAGTGACTGACATCTTGCTACATAGGTACATGCCTTTCTGCAATCTTCCGAGTTTTTAAATTTTGAAACAAATAATAAAACTTGGCACACAGACAAGAGTGTATAAAACATTAATGTGCAATTTAAGGACTAAAACGAACACTCATGTAACCACCAACTTTAGATCTAGAACATTCTTTGTACCAAGGAAACCCTTCACATGTTCCCATCCATGAGCTTCTCTTTCCTTCTGCCACCTTGTTCCACGACTTCTAATTTTGCGGATGATTTAAAAATAGTTTTGCCGCCCAGATAACATGTTGCTGAGTCTGGCCACCATTTGAACTATATGAGCAACTTTGCTTCACATCTTTAAGTCTGTGAGATGGAACAGGTTGCTGCAGGCAGCTGTAGCTCATTCATTTTCACTCTCTCGTGACCTCCGTTGCATGAATACAGCACATTTGGTCTGCACTGTCACTGCCAATGGGCGGTTTCCAATTTGGTCATTATGAGTAACGTAGCTGTAAACATTCTCGCACAGGTTCCCTGACTCATGTAGGGAGGCTGCTCTTTGCCATTAAAACAGTGGTTCTCAACCTCGGCTGCACGTTAGAATCACCTGGGAATCTTTTTAAAAGCCTGATTTCTGGGCCGCATCCTCCGGAGATTCTGTTTCTTCGTTACTAATGTTGTGGCCCCACCCCATAACAAACAGAATTTCCGGAGGGGGAGGCCCGGAAATCAGGATTTTAAAAAGATTCCCATGTGATTGTAATGTGCAGCCAAGGTGGCGAACCACTGCATTAAAAGCTGCTTCTTAACAAGGCTCCCAGGTGCCCTGTGCCTACATTATATCCCGAGACACACTGGGGTCGGAATCTGCATTTTAAGAAGCTCTCCTGGTGATGCTCCTGCATGGTGGCTTGGAAGCACAGTGAGGGGGAGGAATAGCTGATCCCACCACATGCTCCCGTTCAACTTTCCTAGGAGATGCCGAAGTATTTTCCAGTGTGGCTATATCAACTTACATTCCCACCCGCATAAATCGTTTAAAATGGAAAAAAAAGTACTAGTTTAAAAGTCACTAGGGCACAGTCTTAGTTGAAATTGTGATCCAAATCTTCGCTTCCTCCTTCTCTTCTCTTTCTGCTCCCTCCCCCGAATCTGAAATGAAGAAATGACATCCTGGAAGCAGCTACTGTGTGGGCAACAAAGAGGACCAGGGCCTTTATTCACAGAGAAAACAAACGGCCCCCAATTCACCTGCTGGCTCCTACAGGTTCGTAAGCTCCTGGCCTGTAAAGGAGTGTTGTCTAACCACAGGAGCTTGCAGATTCTAGACCTGGGGCCGGGGAGGCAGCCTGAGGCGAGGGTAGTTGTTTCACCTTCTCCTGAGAAAAATGAGTTTTCGATCCCTTTCAAGCAACATTGAGAGCACCCAGGCCTATCATCATTTTCCATGTCTTATGCCACAGTTTCCCTGACTCTGACATCCGCTATTAGGGTTTGTTCCAGAGCCACTCATTTGTTTAACAAACATTAATTGGGTTCTATCTGGGTGTGAGGCATTATGCTAACCTCTAGGAATGCAACAGCAAACCTTTAAGGGAGTCACATAATAATCAGGAGGAAAAATAAGTGAACAAGACAGTGCGATAAAGGTTCACACAGTGGTCAGCCAAAGCTTCCTGCAAGAGGCAGATTCATAACCCCAGATGTGTAGGTCTTGGGCAGGCAAAAAAGTGAGGTGAGGGGGTTTCCAGGCAGAGGGAATAGTTTGTGCTGAGACCAGGAGGTAAAGTGATGGCACGTCTGAGCAACCTCAGTCTCGCTGTAGATGGGTGGAGTGCTGGAGATAAGGTGAAGGAGATAGGTGGGAGGTAGAGGCAAGCAGGATATGATTAAACCATTTCTATTTCTCCTTTCCC